GGGTAAGGTCAGGTTGGGATCAGGAGCCCAGTGGTGCAGGGGTCCCTGGGGGTAAGGTCAGGTTGGGATCAGGAGCCCAGTGGTGCAGGGCCCGGGGGTAAGGTCAGGTTGGGATCAGGAGCCCAGTGGTGCAGGGCCCGGGGTAAGGTCAGGTTGGGATTCAGGAGCCCAGTGGTGCAGGGGTCCCTGGGGGTAAGGTCAGGTTGGGATCAGGAGTCCAGTGGTGCAGGTCCCGGGGGTAAGGTCAGGTTGGGATCAGGAGCCCAGTGGTGCAGGGCCTGGGGGTAAGGTCAGGTTGGGATCAGGAACAGCCACTCTCCCTCTCTCTTCAATGAGCCTTGTTGTTGCTGAAGAATGAAACAGAGAAAAAATCCTCCAGCCCGACAGTGCCACCCAACGGCTTCCACAGCAGACCCACAACCAAACTCGCTGCCCTGTCATCAGGCTGCAGCGGAGGCAGCCGATCACACCTGAGCTGGTGGGCTCCAAGTGCCAAGCCTTCTGTTACCAGCTCAGCACTCTCATCTCTGTGCCACTGGACTCCAGTCACTCGGAGTGCTGGAATCCCACTAGAATCTCTGCCAGCCACAGGCAGGTGTGTCCTGGGCTTTCCTGAGGAAGACAAAGTCAGGACCCTCAGAACGCCACCATTCTCAGGGCAGGGGCATTAGTGTCCTAAGGGTCTGTGGTCTGACCCCACCAGCTGTTCCTGTAAGAGAAGTGAGGCTGCCTGCTCCCAGAAAGATGGGACAGTTCTAGTCTGTCCCACAGGGTCACGGTGTCACTTCGAGGACTAAGGTGTGCCCGTCTCACAATCACTGTGAGACTGGCAGGAGACCAGCAGTGCTTTCCTCGCTATTAGTTGGAACCAACTTGCTGGCACTCCTAACAGCAGCCTGGGTTGGGGTCCACTCGATGGCAGTGGGTTTGGTGTGTTTCGCAGTACACTGGAAGAAAGATTTGGCAAACCCTCCCACCCCGGCCTCTGCTGAGATTCCGGCTAAGCAGCCCCGATGGGGCACTTCCCCCTTCTAGCACACATTGAGTTGCCATGAGCTGGAATCTACCTGATGACAGAGGGTTTGGGCTAGACACCTAAAACCAGCCACTCAGGGTTCTGTCAGTAAATGCTTCTAAGGCCTATTCTGTGTGTTTTACATGTATGAACGCCTCCCACCCCAAGCGGCAGGTGCACAGCGAGAGGCCCCTGCACAGCTATGAAGTGGGAGCGCTGGGATCTAAACCTGAGGAACCTGTTTGGGTCCTTTCAACAGGATGGCAGGGCATCACGAAGGCCCCCGTGGTGTTCTCAGACAAAGGAGGCATGTGATAAACCTTGGATGTACTTGTCTTCCTTCAACCAGTGGCCACTTTTTTTCAGCAAAGGATAAATATAGCTTAAGATGAGCCAATTACACACCCATAAGACACTTCTCTAGAAAAGCAGTTCCTGGCCTCGGCCATGATCCTCAGTCCCTGCCTACTTCAGATGGCTGCACAAGAGCCATCCTCTGGAGGCTGATAGATACCGATACAAAACTAATCATGGTCCTTCCGGATTGAACTCAGGGGCCCATTTTACAAAAGGGGGAGCTCAATGTGCACCGCAGAGCCGCAAGCACTGAAGCCACAGCAAGCACCGGGCACATTCCCTGACTTCCGAGTCCACCCTCATAGGACTCCTTCCCATGGGAATCCAATTCCATTTCTCCTTTTCTTACTGCTGGGTTTTATTAGCAGTGTCTTTATAGATCTGTTCTTTGTCTGAGTGTTGGAAACACTATATATATATATATATACACATATATATATGTAGGGATGTATTGTAACACTGTGTGTAGTTAGGACTTAGTGCTAATGATAAGATGCTCATATATATATATATATATGTATGTAGGGATGTATTGTAACACTGTGTGTAGTTAGGACTTAGTGCTAATGATAAGATGCTCTAGAACCTGCACCAAAAACCAGCTGGCGGTGTGGACATCCTAACTCAGCTCCTTCCTAAGGCAGGGACAACGCACTGAGCGCCCACAGGAGCCGTTACTCCACTGATTCAGAGCTCTCCATGCAGCTTGACCCTGTGGCACAAAGCCATCATAAGGCACACTGCCTGGGAACGACCCAAAACCAGAGCAGGACCTGCTTCGCCCACTTACCCTATGCCCGACGAGGAAAGGGGGACCCCAGGGACCCAGCACCTGCGTTTAGGAACTGGTCCTGCCCACGAACCACACCTAGTTTCCACGAAGGGGGGGGTATCTACAACTGAACGAATCTAATTCCATTTGCCACCCTGCTACACCCAAATGAAAGCCACAGAAGCAAACCTCCTGCGTGGACTGCACAGCCTACAGAGCGAGGGGGGAGCAGAGGGGTCCTTACTGTTTGCGGATAGGAGAGAGGACGTAATCGGTCGTAATCTTCCTGGCCAGCTGTATCCCACAGGCCCAGATTCACCGGTTTCCCATCTACCATAACATTGGCAGAGTAGTTGTCAAAGCTGTGGAGTGGAGAAGGATTCTTGGTTAGCGGGTAGCCTTGGGGCACAAGGACGTAGGGGGACGCCTGCCAGAGAACAAGTGCACAGAATCCTGGGTGGAAGGGCCAGGCAAACCAAGGCAGGCAGGAGCAGACAACTGTGGGAGGAGCAGAGGACATGCTCAGAAACTTTCTATCCAGGATGAAACAAAACATAAAATCAGCTTCTCTTCAACGCCCACGCGTGGCACTTTCAGACGTGTCTGGATCCTTTCAACAGGATGGCAGGGCATTAAGAAGGTTCCCCCACGGTGTTCCCAGAGGACGACTTGCACAGAGGAGGCATGTAGTAAACCCTGTAACCGGAGTACTGGGAACAGGAAACAAACGTGATTCTGGAAGCTGTCCTGTCATGTCAGTGAGTGTACCAGATGACGTAACTCTTTCAATGAACTTGACGTCGCCCCACAAAATTAAGAGGCGGCAGCCCAGAAAAGCCAACCAGCCGAGGACCAAAGGCGGCTGCTGACCGCTCGCTGCAGGAGCTCACTGCCCTGTCCCGCAGACCATCGGAGACAAAACACAAGGCAATGCTGGTCCTTCCAGTCAAACCATGGCCAGCGGCCAACTCAGGAGAAAACACAGCAGGCCTTAACCACAAACCCAGGACTTGTTTTTACCTACTGCAAAGACCAAGAAACATCAGGCAAGACTCTTGCTAGACAACAGAGGCCTCCACTTGTTTCCGGGAGAAAAGTGTTACATAGTCAAGAGATGGTTCTGGGAAAGCCTCAGCCAGCCCAGCCCAGGGTGGCATGCATGCCAACTCCCACCGACCCTCGTGGCAAGGGAGAACTGTCTCAGGAGGGCCTACATAGAATCAGGGGCAGACTGCCTGGTCTTTCTCCTGCAGAGCAGCTGCTGGGCTCTGGTCAGTGAAAGGTCAGCAGCTGAGCACTTACCCACCAGGGGACCCCCTCCCACCCCACCCAGGGCTATACCCAAAATGAATTTTCATTGACTCACATGGTAAAACATGAGCCAAGAAGATCCTAGAGGAAAAAACAAACCAAAAAACCCCCAACTTTTTGAAGCCCTCTAGGACATAAAATTTCCCAGGAGGTGCATCAGGAGTGTCATGGCCCAGGGCTCCCTGGTAACCCCACCCATCATCAGAAAAGCCCCCCCCACCCCAATTCTGCTGTCCACTGAAAATAAGCCACTCCCCAGGTTCCCCCCATATCCTAGTTCCAATCCCAAAAGTCCACAGGATTACTTGCCACAAAAACATGGAGGAGTGGGGCCGCCCTGGCCGTTCCCTGCTTTGCCTGGAGCAGAGGCCCTTGGGCCACTTCAGGCCAGAGCTTCGCTTGCTAAGCCCCCTTGGTTCCTGCAATGACTAAAAGTCTATGAAGAAAAACTGTATTCTTTTGAAACACTTGCTCTGTTTGTTCTATGAGGAAACGCTATACTAGATTGTCTAAATAATGAAGAAAAAACTGTTTTTTAAAAGGACCTAAAATACTATTATAATTAGACTTCAGCAAATGTTTGAGAAGAAAGGTAACCCTATCTGTTGACATTATCTGTTGGCCTCGAAGGAAACGCACAAAGGAATCCAAGTTCATTCCCAAAGCAGCCGGTGGTACTTACACGGTGGGGATGTATTCTCCAGGAAACGCATTGGTGGTGTAGCTGATCAGCAGGCACGTTTTACCTACGGCTCTAAGAAAAAGAGAAAAGACAGGTGGTGCTGAGTCACTTAGTCGACATAATGTTGACCTGCTCTTATGACAGAGTCCTGGGCTTCCGTTATTCTGTTTAAAAAATGGCTAGGGAAAAGGAACAAAAAGTTTTAATTTCTCATTTAATACTACACATCTAGCTTTATCCTGAACTTTACAGTAAACTAAAATCTCTCACAAAAGGAAGGCAAAGGAAGCCTTTGCTCAGTCTGGGTACAGAGCTCACGCTGATGGCTGCAAATGTTTGTCGCATAAGCACAAAAGCCTTATTTAAGAGAAGCAATATTTGCAAACTTAGACTTCTGATAAAGATGACCAGGAATGCCTTTCTTCAAGAATCTTTTTTTTCTTTCGTTTTATTGGCACATAATTATAATTTACATAGCATAGACTTTAATAGTCCAATCATATCAAGGAGAACTGCACAATCACCACCATATCAATTTTCGAACACGGCCCCCTGGTTAAATCACCTTTAAAATGAGCTGAGCATCAGTCAGTTCTAGTGCTCCCTCCCCCCTCCTCCCTTCATTTCCCACTCCTG